AAAGAAAACAATCAATTGAAAAAATGTAATTTAAATTGACCACAGAATCACTTCTTTAGACCTCGAAAGCGTCATTGTATCTTTGAACAAGTTAAGTCAAGGAAATTTTTTACTTTTTACATATTTCGAAACAGAGGATTTTCAAATAACATGGTAGGAGGTGTGTCCAAGACTAAAAGGGAGAACACTGATAATGAAAAATAATAAATGCACGTGTATCATATTCATGATATTGATGTTATCTGAAGCACCTTATGCTAATAGTCGAACTACACTTCACGTCTGAAAGACCAGGCAAATTGTGTTCATGAAAAGAACGTTGCCTTGGTAACACAGTAAGGCTTTTTCCGTCTATAAATACCTGCGATATTCATTTTCCACTCTTATGAGCATCATGTTGTAAAGGAGAGTTGCCCAGACCTGCTCCACTATTACAAAAATACATGTTTGTTCCTTGTGCTTAGGTTCACTAAGACACAAAATAACAACAACTTTGCAGACATGTTGAAACTTTCTGAAAAAGCGAACGAGCAAACGGGGACTAAAATTCTCCTGGACGCCATAACAAACGACAAAATTCACTTGGCGAGGTTTATCTTGGACGCTCTCGACGGGAAGATTATTAACGCTAGGACAGAAAGAGCTCAGACCCCTCTTATCTCTTCTGTTCTATTACCCGATACACAAACGAGATCTAAATTTATGAAGCTTTTGCTACAAAGAAAGGCGGACGTAAATTGCCAAGACGAAACCGGACGTACTGCTTTAAGTTATGCTTGTGAAAGAGGATACCTGGACGCGGTGAAAATACTAGTTCAGAATAATGCTGACCCTGAGCTGGTAGACATGTGGGGGAACACCGCTCTGATTTACGCTGCAGTGACCGGACATTCCCCCGTGGTAGAATTTTTAGTGCGGGCGTTCAAAAGATTGGGTCTTAATATTGACCGACCAAATCGGGTTGGCAACTCTGCAGTTGAAGTGGCTAAGTACCTGGGACACAAAGACTGTTTTCTCGCCCTGACGAGCAATGCCAAGAAATCTCATGAGAATGAAACCTGTAATTGGAAAGAGCCGCTACAGAGTCAATCGCATGATAATATATGCGAAGAAAGGTTGGAGAAAAAGTTATCCAACTCCTTAATAGTAAAGGAAAAACAAGATAATCACGTATACCCATCAATCCAGACAAGAAGTGCGCTTACAGCGAATGAGGCTTTAGATATTGGAAGTTTAGATCGAAAAAAGTCTCCAACTTTCGGAAATCAGTCGGAATCTATGGAATCAATAGATGAGGCTGATGGAGAAAGTGGAAGCTCTCTTGATTGCCAGGGTCTCGTCTTTTCCAGTGTTCTTACTCCAAGGCCTCGGGTGCGCTCATTGAGTGTTCAATATGCCAGTACTAACCAGAAGCAAGGGGAGAACAAAAACAATATTCACCCCTATCTACCACCTTTTTCACAAACCTCGGATCTTCGCATTTCAGCTATTAATTCTACAAACCCAAACAAAAACAAGCACAGGAGTGTTGGTCTAGCGTGCCTTGATACCACAGTACCAATCTCGAGCCCTTTCTCCAGCTCTCTGGGTATTTTGCTTACTCCCATTGCAGCAGCGAAAGTTGGTAAAAAGGAAACAGAAGATGAAAAACCTAAAAAAGCAGCCTTTGACTTGGGCATTAGACGATTTCATGAAAGTTATTATCTCAAAAGATGCAGCTTACCAACGAGTGCCTTAACCCCAGCACCACCTGATCGGTTGATGTTGCCTTTATTCAAACCCAAAGGTTTTCCGAGAAACATACCTGCAACCATCACAGATTGCTCCAACACCGTTTCGCCAACGGCTTCAACGACTTTTACAGTCCTGGGTAACAAACTGTTCCGGCGATTCACTTTTCCCGAGTTAAAAAAAACTACCAAAGGCTTGCAAAGGAATGAATGCGCTGATGCTTCGGGTGGCAGTCCTGAGTCAGTCATGCGGGGTCTGCCGAGGTCTGAGACTTTTCCCATGAGCAAGAACCACCCTCAGGTGGGAAGTAAACCAAGCATCGACAGTATCAGTGCTGTGAAGTGCGAATTCGAGTTTCACCATTAAATCACTTCCTCGTGAATATTTTCTTAATCTAAGGTAAATGCACACATTAAAAAACAACAACAACCGATTTCCTAAGGATGAGTATCAAACCCATGGCGGCTTACTGTGTTTTTAAGTTAAGGAATCTGACGTGGTCATTTACAGTATTAAATGTACTGTATTTTACAATGGGAAATTAGTATTTGTGTTCAAGATAGACTGCAGTATTATTGTTTTAGTGTTATACGTTGATCTGTATATTTAAACCATTTGAATCAAAAATGTCTTATTTTTAACATGATGCCATATCTCTTCATTTGGAAAACAATACGGATCAGTCGCTTAACTGCAATGTACAGTAAGTGAAACGATGCCTCTGTTGACAAGCAGTTCCTGTTGACACTGTGCTTGTAATGTAGGTTCACTGTCGGTTTAAATACAGTATGACGTGTTTTATACTTTTCTGAAATGTACACATAAAATAAACATTATATATATATATAAACATATGCCATGGTTTTGCAGGTATGTGATATTTGTCGCTGTTTGAATGTACGTTTGGACATATTCCAAAAAGGAAGTTTATTATTTTTCTTTCGAATCTAAAAATTGAAAGTTCTTCTCATTTTTACAAGTAATCATGTTATTAGTAAAACACATCTTGTCTTCTGAGAAGCTATCTTCCTAACTGCATAACCCCCCCCCCGTACTCCCCCATCTATGAATCGATTGCTATATTGTCAGTCCGCAAACGATCGTAAAAGTCTCACTCTCAGATCAATAAGGAACGTATTCGAATGTTTTTAGATACACATTGGTGAATGAACCGCCCTAGTTTTAAAATGATAAGAATAGTCCTTTTTGTCGTGCCGGGCTGTTTCTTAAAGAAATTAAAGGACCTTGAGCATTGTACTGTCATATTTTAAAATAATATTTCAATAACAAGAAGAGACTGCTCAATTAAAATTGATTTCGAAGATGAAATTCTAAATTACCATGCCTCACACATACAGTACTCGGAGAACTGTAATTTTCTATATACAGTACCTCGTGACATCGGAGCGTCCAATTATGTTTTATATATTGTTGCTTCTGTATACAGTGTATGTTCGGTCTGTAGTTATCTAATTAATATCAGGCTAAGCTTATACTGTATAGAGTGCTTTCTTGGTATCGGCTGAAAATGGCAAAACAAATATTTTGAAAATGCTCGCACATGTAACAGAAATGCGTGTTACACAGAAATGTGCCTCCTGTTAAATGTCACGGAGACTAGGATATAGTGACTCAAAATGTAATGCAACATGTACAAATAGAGTACCAACACCGTTTCACTTATATACTGTACAGTAGGTAGGTTGAGAAATATTTTCCTTTTGTAAGTTATGCACATTTTAGAAGTAGGAGGTTCAAAACTGTTCAGACCATCAATAGCTTGACAAACTAAGCCTAGGATGCTAAACTATAATCAATGTCTTACACATACAAACGTAAAATAGCCAAGATATTTGTGAGAACGGAAACTTATCGGCTGCAGTCCTTGTGTCTTATTTTCCATCATATCAAATACATTTACTGTATTTCCCCGTATGTAAACTGGGCTTTGCAAATGACATGACGACGCAAAACATCAAGACAAGTATGACCGACGAATGGGTTACCGAGAAATGCAAACTATACTCTTAAAGGATGACAATAAGTTGAAAATGTAGCGTATTAGGTACAGTATATACAGTACAGTATAATAAGATCAAGTTTATTTTTTAGTTCGTTTTGATCCTTGCAAATGGGTTACTAATTAATCGAACGGTTATAAAAGCAGCAGGTAAGCGGGAGACAAATGGTTATTAAAATGTTCCGTTTAAATCATTTAAAACATCCTCATCTTCACCTGCAATGTTATTATTGCTTTTCACATAAACACCCCATAAATAACATTCCCGTATGCAACTTTGTACAGTACCGTGTTTGTTTTGGAAGACCTGAATTAGGTTGAGCCTTCCATAGGCATGACAGACACGATATAAACTACTGGTTTTAAGTGACAACATGGGTGTGATGATTATTAGGTCGTTGCTTTTGCTTCACACGGCTCAGCACACACATTACAGCACCGCATTACGAGCACACGTCGGAACTAGTGCTCTGCCACACAACAGCAGCAACCTTTTCCATGACGGATAATATTCCCAAACCTCGGCTGCGGTAGTGGGCGATGGAAAAAAGCTTTTCAGAAATAGCTGCCGTCGTATTCTTCATGAAACAACTTAGAATAAGTTCCCTTTTCATAACGCCTCCTTAAATCACGCCACAGCTCCTCGTCTGCACTCTGTGGGCATTTGTAGAACTGCTTCAGCACCGAGTTAGTTTTTTTTTTCTCTTATTGCAACCAGTCTTGACTGTATCAGTCCTCTGTTTATCGCTACAGTAGACTAAAATGCTGCAAGCATAAGTGTTGCTTTAAGTATACCTGTGTTTTAGCTGCACTTGCAATGAACTGAACAGTTCCCCTCGCGGTCGCCGGAGATCACGTTTGTCACTCTTTTGAGATTTTAAGAGACCAGGCTCTCATCTCGATTCTTGGATTTCAATCTACAGAAGAATGGAGCTCGCCAGATTCAGGACCATGGATAGCACTCGAGTTCTGCTTTGTATTTTTAGTGAGTAGGCTATTATTTTTCAGCAGTGTTATTACTGCAGCATGTACACATTCGATCCAATTTGCTTGTTATGTCGAGAGGGGCATCGTTTTAAACGTGCGGAGTAAAGAAGAGAACATTTCAATGTACAATAAACGCGTTACAGCAATGATATGCGAATGAAGTTAACATTCTTCGTGTATAATGGGTATACATATAATACAATCATAATGTACAGTATAATGTAAGATGAATAGTTCAAGTACTAAATTAAAATATTAAATAACAATATTATTCTCAGGCATATAGCATACTTATCAAGGAATTTGTGCACCTGACAATTATTCCTCATTAACACTTATGCACGTTAAGTAATTTTCAATATGTTACAATTTATTCTCAGTAATTTATGTGAATAGATATTTACTGACCTTTAAAAACATAGCAGACTTTCTGATTTTAACTTGCTGTTGTTACTGTGATTCACATGAGAGTAACTGTATGACTATAAATATAATTAATCTCTCCTTGCTATTATGCTAAACTAGACATTGTGTACCTATACCAGTAACTGCAATGGAGGTTGGCAGTAGCTGTAGACTAAACACATTTGAATATTGTGTGACAAAACACATATTGTATTATTTGAACTCCTTATAATAGTTTTTTTTACAGTTTTGAGTGAACAATACATTTTTTTTTCCAGACTTTCTGTTTGGAGTTGTATCAGAGCAAGAAGTTGAAAATCTTTCAGGATTGTCTAACAACCCCAACAAAGATATATTTGTGGTTCGAGAGAATGGGACAACATGTTTGATGGCAGAGTTCGCTGTCAAATTAGTCGTCCCCTATGATGTCCTGGCACTCAACGGAATAGATGTAAGACACCAGTTTTATTTTTGTTATTTGAAATGTACAGTGTCGTACAAATCCTTCCAAAAGTAATTTTTCGTGTTTTTATCTTGTTCGAGAATGCTAATAGTTATAACTCACGTTATTTACGTGGTACAATACAGACAGTTATGCTTAGAGGACGTCCAAAAGGACAATTGTTTTCTATAATATTTTATGTACGTCAGAAGTGATGAAAACATTGCGACAACCAGTGACTGTAGTACGAAAAATGCATTGCTTTCAAATTTTTCGTTCTAAAGTGCCCAGATAATTTGGAACACTTTTCATTTAGTAGGCACTAAACTATTTCAATATGACATACTGAAATAAAAGAAAAATAATGGCTGTTTGATTTGTTTAGACTGCTTTTAAGCTAACGTTTTTTGGACAACAGTCCATTGTTGAACTATCTGGGATATACATACAGTACTCTCAGATACACTGTACAGTACATGCATTTCCTCGAATAACATCGAACACATACTGCAGAAAATGAATAAGCGCAAAACAACTAGGAGAACGGTATTTTTCCTTTGTCATTTTCGCATTTAGTAGAAAAACGGTTTAAAGCAGGTTATTGTAAGAAAGCATATGAGTAAACCACTTAAGTGGGAGGATAACACTTGATGTAAATACCATTATCACATTTAGCTATGAGAGTGCACAATTATTGTTTTTTTTTTTTGTTTAGCTGATTACAGAACAAGCGCAAATCACACTTCCCCGTGGGGCTGAGATTAAAGGTAAATGCGGGAGTACAGAAGCCGAGCTTCAGATTTCTTGGTTAAGTGACGCCTACACTTTACGCCTGTTTTTCATTAAGGTAAGCCGCATATTGTCAAACATTACAAATCTAGCTGAGTCAACGTCTGAACTGCTCTGGAAAGTATTATTTATTAAGAAACATTTTTTTCGCCACCTACTTCATCATGGTTTGTTTTAAACGCACACAACAATTGTAACAAAATCAGCATAGCGCATTCTTTAAAATGTTTATTGACCATAATCATTTTTATTAGTAACAGACATAAAGTCACAGAGGTAGCAGTAACTGAGAGTGTTAAAAAGGCTAACGATAAATACCAATAAGGAAGTAAATTAATCTAAGAGAAAATTTCAATGAATTCCTTAAATCGTTCTAAAACTTTTTTTTCAGGAAGCACATAACCTGTCGAAATGGCAAGATGTTTTGTGGAAGATCAACAAAATTCAATTCGTTTACGACACTTCTGAACAGACGCATTTCAACAATGCTTATAATCGTAAGTAGGAAGGTATTTTCTACACCATGTACAAAACACGTATGTTGTTTGACCTTTAGGCTAATTAAGTCCAGAAATAACTTTTTTTTCTTCTTAGACGAAGTCCTGTTTCAATTCCAACAAATGTAAGCCAGTATACGTTATCTGAAATTACAAAACCATCTTCAGCAGGGCTTCTTAATGGTTAGCCGACAAAAGACACTTTTAAAAACCTTAGTCCAGATGTAAGATGTTGGTTGTTCTATGCAAAACGGGATACCTACAGTATCTAATCTATTAGATTGTTCGACGTTTCACGGAGGCCCCAAAGCTTCTTTAGCATGTTAAACTACATCAGAACATTTACTTCTAATTGTTAGTTTTTTTCATTACACAAAGATGATACATGTGACAGTATTATTCTTTTTTCGTGTTTTATCTCTTACGTATTTTAAGAAACTAGTGGATGAAAAACCGAACTGGCAAAATGTCAATGGTCTTCTCTTGTTTGTAACCTCAATGTTATACAGTAAATTTAGCAGTACAGTACTTTATATTATAACCCAAAGAAAGGCCTTTCAAGGATTTTATTAAACTTCGGAGTGTTTTCTTGACGGAAAAGCATGTCTCGTCTTTGATCAGTATTTGTATACAGTACTTAACAGCGCTAAAAACATAATGACATTCTGAACATTTTATGGTAGAGTACATAAACATAAAAGAAAAAAAGGTGTAGTACTGTCACAATTGATCAATCAAATATTATACTCTTAGAAGAGAGCCTGATTCGGATTGATTTGTTATTTCTCACTCTTATGTTCTTATCAATTTTTGAACAAGAAATGTAGAATCCAAAAGCTTAACATATTCGCTTTGAATTATTCACCTCGGAAACATTTTAATGGACCATTTATAATATTTCAGAACATATTTTCAACATTTTCACACTAAATATAGATTACACTCAGAATAACATATCATTATTTTTGCGGTAAAACATTTCAAGGTATTGGTCTCATTTACCAATTTAAAGTAGCTTAAATGGAAAAAAAAGTAGCCATTTTAAATGCACCTACTGCATATGGAACTAGAAATATATATATATCAATATATATATATTGGGTAAATATATTATATATTCTTTTTACAGTATATACTGTGAACAATAAAAGAGAGTGTACACATTTATGAAAACAGCAATGTGATAGCTTTAAAAGTCAAGCAGTAGTCAGACATTGAAGTAGTCGCTTTCACATCTAGATTATACTGTACAAAATAATTATTATACACCGAAATAAAGGTCAAAACAGGAGTGTCATATTAAAAAATATACAATTATAAAAAAAATTATATTGTAACTTTGCAGCTTTAAAACTGACATAAATCTTTTGTTTACCTTTTAACTTTAGTTATAGTATATTAATGTGCTTTATTGTTTTGCATGCATTTTTGAAACCTGGTCTGAATATTCTTATTTGTCATCTACAAATCTTCAAATCTACCCAGAATTTGCATTTAAAGTCAAGTCAGGTGATCCTTGTGGACAATTACTGAACATTGTTCATGTCTTTCTCTGCTGTTAAATTGTTTTTTTTTTATGTGTGTCCTGCTGATTTGTAAAGCAATGTCTTAAATGCTAAATGATCAGGAGGTATTGTATAACTTAATTCAGTGAGCTACACGTGTATAGTTTGCTGCAGTTATGATGACCTAAATAACAAAATGCCCTTCCCTAAGGGCTAAAGCCTACCACATTATGATGAAGCCACAAACATACTAGAAAACTAGCTGCATCATAAATAACTTTTATTATACCTTTCTGCTTTACACTGTATCTCAACTGCTGATTCTGATTTTCCAACAAATATTATGTTGGGATACAATTTTATCATAGTTTGAAAGCAAAACAAAATAAACAACAAAATTCAATACAAAATACATGTAAGTAAGGGAGTTTGTAAGACAGGAAAGAAAGGTGAAAGAGGACACATTGAACATCATTAGAAGATATTAATCTAAAGTACTATAAGGCTGTCACTGAAGTATGATTTTTATTTTGTGTTTACCAGTAGATTTTTTTTCCTTTGTCACAGGATTCATACAATAGGAAAACCTATTTAGCAAATACTGTGGTCTTCATCAGATCCCAGAACATGCACATTCTAGTATCTGATATGTTTTCAAGAATACACAGTATATATTTATTGTAGACTAGAGTAGGTAGGTACAGTAAAAGGCTGAGAGCCTGAAAGCAAGAGGCATTTACTACAAACAGATGGATGCTTATGACATGTAGCTAAGAAAATATTTGACTTTTAGTGGATTTCCAATGAGTTTGCAATGATTGGGTCAATTAAGAATGAGACAGTCCCTCTGCTTTTAGAATAAAACAAAAGATCCTGTTATCTGTGTGGTTTAGTTAAAGCTTTTTAATGGGTGACCTCAAATACAACTGTGTCTCAAGTACTCTCAACTGAAAAGATGAACAATATTTTAAATTAGGTACAGTATATCCACAATGTGAAAAGCTTTAAAAATGCTGTACATTTCTCAACCATACATTTGTTTGCTGATCAGAAACTGAAAGTTGAATTAAACCTAATTTTCGTTGTAGCAGAGTAGATTCGTAGAAATAATTATATTGTTTTATTATGGAAATAAATGGGAATCCTACATGTCTACTAGCTAAGACCATCCAGTCAAATACAGTATGCTTTAATTTTAATTAAGACCTTGATTCTAATATATTATATTATATGTACGGAAAATTAGGGAGCATTTTATTGTCCAAGTAAAATGGACAAAAAAGGTCTGTGACTAAATAAAATATGGGGTATATAAGAAACCAATGGGATTAAAAAAATGTAAGCATTGAACAACATTTTGCTTCTGAATAAAGTATCATAATAAGGTGTAATCCCAATGGATTGGAGTGGAGTACGAAGTTTGGACTTTTAAAGTATGACAGTGAGAGTATTGTTCAGATTTTGTCTATGTTACGGACACAGCCAGACCTCATTAATTACCAATTAACATTCCACACATGACTCTTTATTCAAATCCTCATCAACCTGCACTTCACTGCTCGGTATTGAACAGTCTGCTGTTTTCCTGAGCTCTCCTTCTTCCTGCAGACCTTCAGTGAATAAGCCCTTCTACTGCTCTGGATCCTGACACTGCTTCCCTCACCGACTCTGACTTCCCCTAGCCCCATCGGATTTGTTCACCCTCATCCATGGAATCCACTTGCACAGGGTTCTTCTTGTCTAATAATCTCCAACAGCAATTCTAACAAAAAAATGTTAATGGTGATAGCGGACAACAAGCAGGCAGTCTTTTATATACTTTATGGATGAAAATAATAGCTGAATGGTCAAAGTAAAGACCATTCTCTGAACTTAATAGGAGTATTAATATCTGGCTAGTGCCTACTGGAACTTTAAGAATTGATAGAGCTGATTTTAAATAAATAGAACCAGTCACACTCTTTTAGTGAATTTTAAAGTATCTACAATCAAAACTTCTTAACAGAAAGTACTAGTTAAACAATGCAACCTGGATGATGTGATGGCAGCAAAAGTATGCCAGTATGCCTATCACACATCAGCTACCAATGGGGAGGAGGATAGAGTGATGAAGCCAATTCATAGATGATTAGGAGGTATTGATTGGTGAAGGACAGGTGGAAATTTGATCAAGACACTTGTAGGGCTTAACACCCCCTACTCTTTTAGAGAAACACCCTGGGACTTTGAATGACCATGGAGAATCCGGACCTTAGTTTTACATCTTATTCAAAGGATGGCACCGTTTTTACAGTATAGTGTCCCCATCATATACAAGGGCATTAGGACCCACACAGACTGGGGGGTGAGCGCCCCAGGCTGTTCCTACTACCACCTCTTCCAGTAGCAGCCTTAACTTTCCCAGGAGTTCTGCCATCCAAGGAACTGGCCAGGCTCACACCTGCTTAGCTTCAGTGGGGCGTCAGTTGCACCTTTTTACTGTATAGTGTCCCCATCACTCTACTGGGGCAGGGTACAGGATGAGCACTCCCTACTAGACCCACTAACACCTCTTACAGTGGCAACCTTAGGTTTCCCAGTTTTCCCATCCTGGTACTGGCCAGGTACCTGTTTAGCTTCAGTAGGGCACCAGTTTTGAGTTGCAGAGTGGTATACAGTAGCTGCTGGTTGATATACTGTATGGTTTTGTGGCATCGCAAAGATATATAAAGTTGACTTCAATGTCTTTGCTGTTTCGTAGGTTAAAATGTCTACTAATGCACACTTTATATTTTCTTGATATTTGTCAACCAGCAACAGTGGCACTGAATCTTATCAAATCTCAGAAAATAAGCAGTTTTGGATTTGGTTAGTACTGGAATAGGAGAACTCTGAATAATTGGGTACTAATTGCATCTAAGTGGAGAAGTGCTTTTGGATTATCTTTGATGAAAATTGCATACAAACATTATTTATTATAGATCTTGATTGGCCCTAGTGGGTGTATTGTATGCAACATGTAATTACCACCTAGTAAAATATAATAAATTATTGGAACTTCCAGTGGGTCCTGACAAGGCAGTTGGGATAATACATGCTCACACCCAGCATCCATTTTATTTCTTTTCTTAGTTTTCATTCAGTTTAAGGTGGCTTTCTCACTTTCAAGGCCCCAGAAATCATGATAAAGGAAGCAAGGTGGACACCTTCTCTATGAAAGCTTTGAAAGAAAGGGCAAGAAAACTGAAAAGCAGCCCTTTTCACAGATAGTGACTAATGCATACCTCATGTCACTGACAGACTTTATTATGATTTACTGTATACCAGTGACTTCAGTGTTAAGAGGAGAAGATTCCTGTTCACCCCTTGTTGTGAAAAGAAACCAAGAGGTTTGATCTTATTCAGGCATTCAGGCATTAGAGAGGCAGGGAAGGCTAAAGTTCTTAAAAAGATCCTCAGATCTACTACTAAAAACAAAGTGAGCTTGGATTTGGTTTTTTGCAATGATTCTTAAATAATGGTTCATTGTATATCCAATCTGGCAGAAATAGTGGACAATGGCTACCTTTTTAATCTGTGCATTGTTTGCCATCTGGAACAATAATTCTATTAATCCTGGAAATGGTTTTGTTATTTTTTCTTAATTTTTAATGCTTTGCTGTATCGACTAACATCTAATCTTTCATGATGCAAGAACCAGTATAATTAACAGTATTGATATCAGATGTGATCTTTCATTTTCTTAAAAAATGTAAAGATTTTTTAGAGATCTGAACCTCTTAAGTGTTATTATTAGTGAATTTAGAATCTGTTTCTAAATTTAGCTCTAAGCAAATGGACACATTCATATTGTGGTCATATTCCATTGTGATCAGGCAGGCCTTCTGAAGCGCTCTGATCATATGTGGTGCCTTTTCCACATTTGCAACCAAGCTTCTTGTAGCTGTGCTTGTAGAACATGTAAATATATGTTGTATTTCCAATAAATATGAATATTAGATTAAGAAAAAAAAACAGATGACCATTTCAGTAACATCTAATGAAATAGAAGTGCCACCTATCGATCTGCTTTGATCAGTAAAGGGATGCAAGTGACATACTGATGAATAGAACTGTATTATGCCGCAGTGTTCTTGCCACTGGTGTGAGTTGCAGCATCAGTGTATGAAACAGAGAACTAGGGATGGGTAAGAACCAATATTCTTCTAATTCATACTTGCATTCTTATATAGAAAGCTTGTAGAAGGAAGTACAGCTAAACCTCATTGTGGATGTTGCAAAATGTCAGGCTTTACAGGTTCATTTTTCACTAACAAAAAATGTCTAATAACTAATCCCCTTTTTTTCTGTGAGCTTCTGTGGAATAACAAGAAATTCACAAGAAAAACCAAGCAATATTGGGGCAAACTTGAAAGTTAGGTCCACTTGTAAAAGCTACTGTATGTTAAGATCAACCATTTTGTCCAACTTTGTAGCGACCTTTAAAGGTGCTGTTGTTGTCCTTTGTAGATGCTTTGTAGCTTGTTCTTTGGGAAGGTGATTATAATGAATGTTTTACCAAATAATCTTTATGACTTCATTGGATAGTTGTTTAGTTTCATGATTTCCCAGTCCTTTGTTAAAATTGTTTTGGAATAGGTAAATCATGAAATTGTACACCAAAAAGCTTAAGCCAAATCCCCAAATTTAACATTTGTTCTATTTCTTTCAATTTTGATAGGGATATACTTTTTACTCTGCCACTAGAAGTTGTTTGGGCCTCTGTGACTTGAACATAAATTCACATGTGGTGATTCAGTTAATTAGATAATTGGTGAAGGGCAGAGAGTCACATTTTCACATGTGTTTCAGTGACTTTTTGTGTTGGCTTTCTAGAGTGTTTCTTTTGTGTGTATTACAGAACTTTGCTTAAATAAATTCTCATATTTCTCTTTTTTTTTTTCCTTTTCATTGTGACTTTCCATGTGTTCAAACCTCACGTGGTTGGCCTGTCCCAAATATAGATTTTTTCATTACAATTTATAGTAATATGTTATTTTATATACAAGAAGCTACTCTTTTAAATGTGTAGTGTAAAATGCAGTTTTAAACATATTACCTTAATTATTTACTAAAAAACCAATGTGATATCATCTTATAAAATAAAATAGTGCTAACTATTTTTTTTTGAAAGTGCAAAGATGTACTGTACACTAACATACAGTACAGTAGTGCAAATTGCCCATTGAGGTAAAGGCCTCTTTGAGAGGATCTAAGCAGCAAACTGGAGGATCCAGGAATTATGACAGGTGATAAAACCATAAGAAATCATTGAAGATTGTCCCCTGCAATCAAATCTGTTGATGGTTTTGGGCTAAATATACTTCTACATGTTGACAATGGCATCACGTTGTATCTGTTGAAGGTATGGGAATGCAGTAGTGATCACTGATAGATAATACTGTAGATATTGGTCTAATAGTTACTGGTCTCTGATACTCTGTATGTCCTAGTGGTCCTTTAAGCTGTAACAAAGCTTGGTAGAAAAGAGCAAATTCTACATAGACAATAACTTCTGGAATGGCCTGCAACAGTTTGGTGATGATACAGTCATCCAACCATGGACCGATGAACTCCCTTCAGATTTCAGATTCTATTTACCACAAAGGTGTTTGGAAGTCATCTGAACTGAGACATGAGAAGAGACATGGTGAATTCACATTAAATTCATAAGTAGGCTTTGTGGGTATATATGTTCTTAAATATCAGTACCAGAATAGTGGGTTGGAATACACATACAGTATTAGTTCTACAAACTCAAATTTCAGCTATTCAGATGACACATAAATTATTATTATCTGTGCTCAGTAAAGGTGCATAAAATAACAAAAGTGTGATTGTTTCTGTACATATTTTGTCAATGTTATAGCCTACTTATTACTGATTTTTGCATTCTGAAACAATGTGCATTTATTTTGGAACTGATCATATGCATAATAAATACATACAGTATATGCAATATGTACAGTATAATGTACTATTAGTGTTATTTGAAACACCCTTGATATCTTGTTATATATGTTACTTTAACAATTGGCACTGTGTATTTCTAGCTGGGAAGCACACTGCGAGCTCGCACCGCCTGTCCGCCCTGGTGACTCCAGCAGGACTTTCTTATGTGTGCCAGGCCCCGCAGACTCTTTCGCTCATCTCCAGTGATCATCAGAAAGGAGTAACAATCTCGATGTCTGACATCCAGATCCAGCCATTTGACATAAAGAGCAACTTCATGTTCAGTGAAGGTACAATTAAAATTTACTACAGCATCAGATATATAAAAACAAATGAGACCAAGCGTAATTATTCATAAGCAGAGTGCGGCAAAATACTAATGTGAAGTAGCACACATGTTGGCAAGGTAGAGTAAGTAGATTGCCTCTCTGAATTAGTATAGAATTTTTTATTTGAAAAAATTAACTAACCAGTATTGCCATGGCAACGTTCTTATTGTTACCAGATTGTTGTCTCAGGCATCAAATTACCTTACATGTTATATAAGATATATCCAAGCCTAAGCAGTGAAATACTGCAGTGTTGTTATGGAAATAATAGCGAGAAACAATTGCATGTCAGACTGCATCTGAATGTTTTACTGTGGGAAAAAAAAGTGGATGAAGTGCTGGGTATGGTATTCTAAACTAAAAAAAATAAAATGTAAGAATATTATTTAGATTAGAGTGATGGACGGGAAGAAGCAGATATTACAGCTATTTAAATAAATGGCCTAAATGCTTTCCTTGACTTGGTCAAGTTTTTTTTGGAACATCATCAGTCAGGCTTGAGTAGTCTTTGCATTGTCCTATTCCAAGACTCCTGAGACCTTGTTGTGGAGCAGCTGTTTTCAAGGCCTATCTCATTCATTGTAGCAAGAATGTCATACTCTTCATTATGCTAGAGTAGCAGAACTTCACTTTTCAAGGTTTTAAAATGAGATTTTAGATTCCAGAGCAGTAATTGTGAAGGTTGTGTTTTTCTTTTTCATTCTTCTGTGAACATTATTTTTTAATTAGGTTTGTGTGAGACTAATGAAACATTAAAACATATGTATTCATAAATATACTGTATGACTCATATATATTTAGGTTTCATGAACACAGTAGTTTGGTACAAATACATTTGTAGATTTAAAATAAATGGATTCTATTTTGTGTTTTGCTGGTTGCTGTGCTTGTTAACATTAATGTGTAAGAAAGTTTTTCTTTAAAAGAAAAGGCAAAGTCACAGTAAAGCTGTGATTTAGCTTGTGAATTATTTTCTTTTGTTGAAATGGTGTTTACCCCCCATTTATTTTGGATTTATTGATTTATAATTTTGTTAGAAAAACAGAGTCACACATTTTTATCGATTTTCAAATTCAATTAAAATAATACAATACTAAAAAATAATGTTTGCGCTCTCTGTGATATCTAAGTAGCACAATAGCTTAACTTCCCAGTATCAGCTATTAATGTTTTAAAATCGATTTAATCATATAAATATTTTTTTGTTTTGTTTTAATGCTTCCATTGCTCACAGTGGAAGATTGCTTGTAATATGATATTTCACTTACAAGTACAATGGTAATTTAATTAGTAAATGATGAATATGTATTTCACACTGAGAGGAATAATAATATGTCCTTTAATATAAATTGAAGCTTGGGTTCTCAATCAATTTCTATGCCTGAACAAGGTTATGCTCTTTCTCTTATGCTGCATTGATACACTTGGATTATGTGTTGAAGAACAACAAATGGCTGTTTTACATACAAGGCTTGTACTGTATGTAACTACTTGTGTGAATTATTTTATCATATGAATACCTCTTTGAAATACAATATATTGTTTCTTAAACTGTTTAACTCACTCAGAACAGAACTGACCATCTGCTTGCACTTATACTCGGTTATATAATATTGATGATGAGATGCAAAATAGAAGTATTCCCGAGAACTATGCTAATCAAATGAACATCAATAGAGTGCCTTGTCTATGAAATGGAAGGGCAGGTACAGTATAGTGACAGATAACAGAGAACTTTGTGATTTTTTTGATGGGTATACAGTATCTCTTAGCATTTACAGCAGATCATGTTTAATGTGTGGGTATTTTACAGGAAGCACAAATGTTCTTGCATATTTGGGAGAAAAGCTTGAGAGAGTTTGTTTTTTAAACAGTCATTATTGCACAAACAAATATCTGAGCTGGACACTTTTTTAATCACTTACAGTAGTTTCTCTTGAAACATTCATTACTATGAAACACATACAGTACCTGTATTTCCCCATCATCTATATTTGAGAAATCGATGTGTTATATAATTATAACTGAGATTAACAAAATATGTATGAGGATATTAATGTTACATAATACATAACGATGTTATGTATTAACAGTCATAGATTTATTTCATCTGTTTAATATACTTTTTTAACAAACCTTAGAAACCAAAAACTGTGGTTTAGTTCCCATGTGTATCTATTATTTTTACATGTATACAAAATATTTAGTTTGAACAAAATAAAGAATCACACTTATGAGGGACACATTTATTGTAATGGAAACATTTTCTGGAAAATTACATGCTTCTCAGACTTCCTCCTGCAAATGATTTTCATCCTGATCTCAGGTTCACACATAATCCTACTATAATTTTGGGAGTTCTTTACATTGTCTGCAGATTACAAACGCTGATAGTCTTGTTTATTGTCATAGAGTGATATGACAATACTTAACATACTTATATACAGCATACAGGTACAATTACATTAAAATGATACAATCAAAATATAATACATGTGCATATTATGTAAATGCATCTAAACCTGTATGGCAATTATTAATTAAAAGAGCTTGTTGACATATTTTGGCTTTACTACAGTCTAATTCATACTGTACATACTGTAAGTTAATGACTTAACAATTATTTTTTTTCTTTTACTGAATACTTCCATTGTATTCATTTAAACTTTAGCAGTATGAACTGCTAAAGTTTAAATGTTTTCAACTTCAAATATTAAAGCTTCAAGCTCTTTCAGATTCAATTTTGGAAGTGATCAATAAGCGTGTCTGTTCCCTTGCTTTGATATTGAATTTTAGTCCTGCTTCTCTAGTGCCTTCTACTTCCTATATATTCCTGTCAGGTCCGAGTTGTAATGTCATTTGTTTCTCTCTCTCCACAGCCTATAAATGTATTACTGACCAGAGGGAACAGCTAGAGGAGACCTTGCCGTTGATTCTGGGAATAATTCTGGGAATTGTCATTGTAATTACTCTTTCTGTCTATCATATCCATCAAAAAATGACTGCAAATCAACCACAGCTTCCAAGAGACAGATCACTGTATAAGAATATGTGATGACGTTTAATATTGTTAAAGAAAATGAAAGTTAACAGTACATTTTCTTTCATAGGAATGGTAATTTATTTACAGAGTTCTTGAGTTAAGGTACAAATATGATTAGTTTTAATTTGAAAGTTACAGGTATTATATCCATGATTTTAATTAAACTGGAGAATCTATCAAACAAGCCATTCAAAAAACATGAAGCACAATCTTTAATATGCTAAAGTATTTATTTTAATGCTGCATTTATTATTATGCATTTTTTACATTGTTTTCCTTGCTTTAGACAATATATGCTTTCTTTACAGTATGAAGTGCACCATTAATTACTTTGAATGTATAAATATGTAAAATGTGTAAATAAACTTATAGAAACCATAAGTTAAACATTTAATTTTCTCTGTAGTGTATGCTTTTGGCTGGGGTAGTGCAAAATGTGTATTTACAGCATAATATTGCATAAGAGGAAAAAAATATTTATGTCACGACTTTAAAGTAAACATTTGCATCAGGAGAATTAACTTAATAGAACTGATGAACTTTTGATTGAATTTAAGAAAAATGTGAAATGTTCTATTTAACAAAATAAATTAATGTAACTCATTTTCTTTGTGTACTTTTGTATATTCTATGCTTTTTAAACATTCACTTCTTTTCTTCCATTTGAAGTAATTCAATGAAAGTGAGAACTAAAATATTATTCTCTCAGGGGCAATTAATAGGATCTCATTGCTTTTGAGAGAAATATTAGAGCTCTGTCATGTATTCCAGAGTAAGCCTACTTGTTTCTTACATTGGAATGTAAGAAACAAATGTGACTAGAATAGACCACTGTACCTAGGACTAAATCTCAGGATTTTGGTGACTCTACTTTTTCTGAGCTGCTCAATTGCTGTGGAATACCCTTTCTCCAGCTCTTCGAGAGGGTAATTATTTGACTCTTTTCAAATCTAAACTTAAAACTCACATTTTTACTATGGCCTGTGTTTGACTGCCTTCTATTAATCCTGTATGTTCTATTTTAATTTTTCTTACTTTTTATTGTATTATTTTTGTCTTTTTGTTCTATATGTACAGTACAGCACCCTTGGATTTGGAAAGGCACCCTTTTTAATAAATAGATAAATTATTCCTATTCTTATCCTTATTAATAATAAGAAGAAGAAGAAGAAGAAGAAGGAGGAGGAGGAGGCCTAATAATATAATAACACTATAATAATATAGAATTTTCCTTTATACAGGAAATCAGAGTTTTCTAAATACAACAAAAATGGCAAGCTCTCTTATTAAGGTTCAAATACTTACCTCAAGGCACTGTCAACTGACACGTTTTCTTTGTCCTCCACTCTCCTTTCTCTCTCTGTCTTTTCCTCTTTTCTCTCTGTACCTGCTTGTTTCTGTGCCATGTTCCTGGTCTGTTGATGAAACTCTTAATGATTTTTTAGGAACTTAATAAACAAAGGTAAATCAAAGTGAATTTCAGACATCTCAGCAAACATCTCCTTGCTCTGATGCTCCTAAACCTGACACTTTGTTGAGATACCTCAATCTACAGTTCCAATTCCCGGTAATAATATCCAATTTAAAAATAACAATATATTTTTAGATGTACTGTATGTGGGAGATGTACAATAAAATATTTCGCTACCTTATTTTGTATGTACAGTATGGAACCTGTCACAACGTATGTTCAATATGTTGAAAATAATTATTTAATTTAATTCTAAAATTTACTGTATGTCAAAATATATAATTCTGCAACATATAATGGATGATGCAATATAGTGTATTTATTTTGGCCTTTCCAATATATCTTGCAAAACCATCCTGCAAACCAATAATGTGCCCGTGATCTTCACAAAAAGGATAACTTTTTATACTATGAGGGAACAAAAAATGGTTAATACCACATCGAATATTAGAATGAAAAAATAATGTTTTAGCATTTTATACAATTGACGAAGGATAAAAGTAGTTACTTCTTGTTACTTTCTTAGGGTGGAATTAACCTTTACTTGTTCCTTCGTACAATGCACACTGATGCGACTCACTGATTTTTATTAGGTAACTGCTTTCCTGGAAATCCATCTACAAAGAACAAGAAAAGTAAACGTGAATAAATTAAAAGCTGTCTATACCCCATTTTAAAACCCCATTTTAACTGCAATCAGTGACTCGTAAGGGCCTCAAGAATATCACCTCAAATTTACAAATGCCTTACAAGGTTCTTGTTTGCTGTTACTGCCAGTATCATACAATAGTTGCACCATGTCCCTTGGTGCTTCAAGGAGAATAGCATTGAAAACACCTCATGCCCTAACCTTTATTGAGTAGAACAAGTCCTTGATGAACTGAAACAATGAATAAGGAAGAGATGCTAGAAATGGAATGGCAGAATATTCCTGAACTATCAGCAAAAAGATAGTGGAAACAGTCCCTGCTTAATTGCTAGGATAATTCTAATAACAATTAAGGCAAAGGGTGGCCACAAAATTAATTATATTGTGAACAACTGTTTTGTTATTTTGAATTTTGTCCTACTGCTTCTGGTAATATATAAATGCTCTTCATACCTTAATAATATTGATGAAGTTCAGAAGCAGATGGATAAATTACAAAGCAGTTGCTGAGGAGTGATGGAAAAACTCCTAGTGGCATGATAAATGCAACTCCAAACACTGGAACATTGGTGTCTGATTATTGCCACTTCGTCTATGGAGAGAAAATATTGATCTTACCATTTTTCTCACCTTTCATGCTGAGGAAAAAGCTTCTTGTTGAAAAATGAAGATAAGGCTTTCCTGTAGCTTCAGATGTAAGGTTGCAAATTTTAGTGTGTCATACATTTTGGAGTAGTCCAAAAAAGTCCAAGACAGCACTTGTTCTAACAGTGGTGATAGGTGTTAGATGTGGTGAAAACTTAATGTTATTTATTCACTTGCATTTGTTGAAGCTTGATGTGGGAGAATATTTCAAGAATAAGATTCAGGCTTCTTTTTTAGAAACTATTAAGTGCTCCCATTATGATATAATTTGTTTTTACATTTGCTCCATTTGTATTTACAATATGCCACTGAGAGAATTAATTGTCATAATTGAAGCTTAACTTTAAGTCAAAGTCGTTTGATACGATCTGAGATAATATCACTTGGTTACTTTTGTTACTTAACATTAATGAAGAACTCTTGGATGACTAAAACTGACTAAACTGTTATAGAGAAGATGTAGATTGGAGTATACTAATGTCAAAAGGATTTAAATGTTTACATTTGGGAAACTGAATATCTGACTTTGACTAGAGGTCCCACCTACTGTTTCTTAATTTCAAATGTATTTCTTTAAGTGATAGAAGGTTATACTTCACCAAGAAGTGCCTTTCTGTAAACTTCAATATTAAATACTTAACAGGTTTGATTAAGTTTTGCCTCATATATAGGGATTACCAAACATAATTTTATGAAAGAAATGATGTAAACAGAGACCATAGTATTGTATTTTTGCAAAACTGTGAAAGAGAAAAGGTCAACAACAGGAAGAAGGTCAGATAAAAGGCTACAGTTAAGAAGTGCTGTTTATAAAATAAACAAGGCAGACAGGCTTAACATCTACTGTATATCTGAGTGGTGAAATATAACTTGGAATATAGGTGTTGCAGGCTTGCTTACTACTGCATCACTAAAAGACCCATGTGTCCCCTAGTGCACACAATCGGACGTATGCCTGGACCACATCACTAAAATCTAAACAGGATCCACTCTCTTTCATTTCCTTAGACAAAGTAACTTTAACAGGTGGGGTAGATAGGCCAGGAGATCAGCCTTACTTCAATCAGCACTTCAGACAATAATAAAATATCACCATGTGCAGTATGAATTGTTCATTAAAAGTCACAGGAATATTGTTTAGCTAGATACTATGCATTTACAATGATTTCAAATGAAGATGCATTTAAAAATTAAATAATACATCAGCAAAGAACCCAAAGCTTTAATTGTGTAATAAACTGGGAATGGTAGATGTGAAACAGAATATAAATGATCCATTCTTTTTTTTAGGAAAAAGACAACAAAAAACAGGTTATAATTAACTGATCAATAACCATAGAGAAAATGGAGTAAGGTTTAATGAAGAACTTTATTTAAAATTATAGTAATATTAAAACATTGCAAAATATATTACCATTATTTGATATATAATAAAACATTTGAAATGTTTAAAACAAAACTGAAAACAAAAGAGACCTGCAAGAGCAAATGCCTTAGAAAACAATCTTTGCAACATTAGGTTTTTGGCTATTGTATAGCCCACTTGAAATTTATCTTATAGTTATGTATAGTAAGGGCAATAAAGTACACTTATCTGTGTACAATTTTACATTAATGTTTACGATTTGAAATATTGTTTTATGTTAAGAAACATTGAAGAAAACCAAATTACAGGGGGTTTGTAATTGATTACATTATCCCTTATCTTCTTTATTTTCAATGTGTGTGCAATTGTATACAAAGTTCATGATATTTAGTATAATATAATATACATAATATAATAGTGTAATATAATAAAATATAGCTAACCAAAACCTCACACTGCTATTGTTTTACTTTAACTATACAATGTGGTGAAGGCTGGTATTTTAGGAGCACAATGTATCATTAATTTTGAAAAATGCCAAAGTTAAGTTGTATTTTACCCAATATTTTAAATTACAAAATAATTACCACCAAATAATATCCAAATTAATTATTATTACCACCAAATTTTCCACCAAAGTTACTGTAGGTCCAAGGGACCATTGATTATAAAGCTTCCAATTTCCTTTTGAGCTGCTGCCAATTTGCAGTAAATTGTGTAAGACTGTAAATTTTCCTGAACAAAATACAAACTCTTTCATAGTTTAACTGAAATAATTTAAATAAATACTACCTAGTTTGCAGAGAACAGAAGGGGGCAAAGTTAAAATGTTCAATTCAACTGATCACTACTAACTGTAACCTGTTTCAAACATCAGTTTCACAAAATTAGTCTAAATTTGAATTATCTTATTATTATATATGAATTATCAACACAATAAAACAATATTTTGCAGATCAGTTTGTTGAAGTATAGTTAGGAATTATGCAGAGTACACAGATTACCACAGGGACCACTGCTATTTCAGATTCCAGGCTTTTAAACTAGCTACTGTACAGTATGTGTAAGTTTGCAGATGATACAACAATAGAATGATTAGAAAACACAATGGAAGAAGCAAAGGAAACTCCAAAATGTTAGATTAAAGACTGGGCAAACATCCGTCAGAACATGTTTAATTTAGTTCAGGTGGGTAGCTGCGTCAGCATGGGTAGGCTGCAAAGGAACAAGTAATAGGTTTATTCCATGCTGAAAAGAGAAGAAAGGAAACACAACATTTCGGCTGTGGATCCTTCTTCGGGTGTGACACCCGACTGCTCACTTCTGTGTATGTCAATACTTGATTCAGCTTAACTAGTAACCACACAATTACCTACTGTAAATAGGCTAAATGCAGACATTTTTAATTTATTATTCAAGCATATTTACTTCAGCATTAAAGTTTTTTACAGTTAGCTTATACTTAACTCAGGAAAGAACCATGCATGAAAATGGCAATGACTATTAAAGTGAGATAAAGCAGTTCTGATGAACATTACATTTTTATGTTACTGTTATGTTAGATACTGTAGCATAACACTAAGAAAATTAAACATGTCCAGATTTTAATCATCAGGAAATAAGGTGATATATTTTGTTGTAAAAGACAAGTTATTGTTGATATTATCATTATTATTATTCAAAACCAGAAAGTTAACCAGAAAAAGATAACAAAAGCAGTAAGATAAAATAAAAGGCTAGTGACATTAGGAAGTGCTGATTATAAAATAATTAACACATGTTTGAACGACGTTTCCCGGGAGATACAGTTGACAAAGTATGTACAATAAATCTTTCATTTTATTTTTTTATTGAAAACCAGTTTAACTGATAACAAACATGCGAATTCACTCAACAAGCAACACCACATTTAATTATTAGTCATTCAAATTTTAACATTCATCAAGGTTTAGACAGCAGCACACGTTAATGTGTTCATATTTACAAAACACATTAAATTTTAATTCCAAAATCAAAACAAGAATCTATGTGGAGTGAAACAGTTTTGAAATATAGATTCTACATCAGGCTTGGAAGTCTAATGGAGGATAAATAGGTTAACATCAAAGATGAATAGGGCTTACTCTTTATCAATTGTATATTAGGTTTTTCATATTTCTTTAGCTGTTTTTGGAACAACTTTGTGTTGGAAATACATAAAAAATTAAACAAGTTCTCATTTTAAAATTCGGCAAAACAGGCAAGGCCTTCACTCAGTGTATTTTTTAAATTCTGTTGAAAAAATGTAATGTCCATATTAAACACCATTTCTTTACTTTCTGAAAATCTATTTTAAAATAATTGATATGGATATTTCTACTTATTAAATAAAGTCACAGAAGATGAAAATATTGCTTACTTGATTAAGATAATCAAAACCATTATCTGTTGGTATAAAAAAAAGAAAAAGAAACCCTACTGAAAAATAAATCAATTTTCCAATTCAAAAATAAATAATACTATCAATATACAAAAAAATCTGTCATTCCCATTTTTGACAAAGATTTATTCCTGCCCTCATGTACGTTATGAAATATATTCTGGTTGTCACACAGACAGTATCACAGTTTAGGTTCATTTATTATCTATAAAGGGATTATAAATAGTAGGAAAGACCTTTTCTGAAATGTTTAATTAAATTATATTTAATACTGCTCATATCACAATGATTACATCACAACAACATACTGCAAATTATCAAAAACTGTACAGAATATTACAATTAATCTAAAATACGTTACACTGCTAGTGTTAAAAAAGAAAAGTGCTTTTCCTTAAACCAGAGAAATATGGCCAGCCTTCCAACACATAGAAAATGGCCATATAAATTTCTTTAAGTAAGACTCCATTGATAAGTCCTGAATGTGCTGTAATCTATTTATCTGACAGAAGCAATTGTAGTTTCATGGTGCTTCATCAACTATGCTGACTGGAAGCCAGATACTATGATTTTCCTAAGAAATTGAGCCCCAAAAGTGCTAGAAGTCAACAGATAAGATGTGCTGTGCTCAAAACTTACCGCTAGTACATAGAAAACTATTAAATCATAGCCACAAAGGGTTCCTGCTCCGTAGGCAGAAATTCTGTAAGGGCTAAAAGTCCTCCAAAACTGTGAGATCTGTGTGCTTTGAATGACTGCACAAAAAGTAGATGTCTCTCATTCTAACCATCACAATTTTCTTAAGCTAATTAGTCTTTTGCTACCATAAAGGTATAGTTACTTGAAGTCAGTCTTGCAATAGAGGTGAGCTACTGAGCAGGATGTCAGCGGTGCCTGTAGTTCCTCATAAGGGGTACAATGCAGGAAGAGGGTCCCGAGAGCTTCAGGAATGGATGACACAGCAGTTCTTGTGCAGTGGCTCGTTGCGAAGGCTCCCTCACCAGCATCAAGTCCAGAAATCCTCGCAGGACAGATGACACCTAACACATAAAGTACAAATTCAGAATGTGAAATCTGACAGGGTAGTCATGGAAAAATATAAGACATCTATGTCTATCCAAAGTTATTAAACACCACGTAATTGTTCATATTTACAAAATTATTTTTTCAGGAATGCAACTAGTTACAGAACACAGAATAAATTAAGTTTGGAGTTTTTAGGCCATAATTATAAATTTGAACAAGTATTTCTACAATCACTACTTATTATTACAATAGGAGAAAATAAAACCATTAATGATGCTGAGATCTTTTGTTTGTCACAAAAACAAATATTTCCAGAACTCATTTAGAAAGTTTAGATTACATAATCCTATTTCTCAATATGTCTCTTATTTCTTAAAATCTTAAAATGATATCTGAATGCATGAACATTTCAATATCAGAGGACTGTGCTACAGTACATAGTCAGAACAATATGGTAAAACTAGGTTCAAGCAGCGGTAAAATACTGTAATTTTCCAATATGTGGAATATATGTTTACCATATTAATGATTCAATTGAATCAATCCAAATTATGCATTTCTGAAATAATAAATTTCATTCCAAAATTAAGTGGCACATTTAATGGCACCTGTGTTTTCAGGACATAGTGCACCCTCCTCTTGCAAGGATAACAACACTGAGCCTTTTTAAAAATGTTTTATGAGATTAGAGAACACATTGGAAGGGATCTTATAGCATTCCCCCAAACAGAATCATTCCAGATATTTGATATCCTTTAATCTGCTTTTATAGACTGCCCACTTCAGTTTCAACCACAGGTTTTCAATGGGGTTCTGTCCAGAGACTGAGATGATCATTGCAAAATATTAATTTTATGGTCAATTAACCATTTCATTATAGATTTTAAGATGTGTTTTGGGTCACTCTCTTGCTGGAAGATACACTTGCAACCACGTTCAAGCCTCTTAGCACAGGCAACCAGGTCTTTTGGTTAAAATATCCTGGTGCTTGGTAGAGTTCATGATGACAATTAAGTTAACAAGGACCCTAAAACCAGCTAAAGCAAAATAGTCACATAACATTAAAGATGTTACAGTAAGCATGATATTCTGCTTATGATACTGCATATACAGGATACATCTTTGTTTTTTTCTGAGCATAGCACTCAGTTCCAATCCAACTGCGAAGGTTGTTTAGCAAACTCTAGGTGCTTACATTTGTTGGTTGGTCTGAATATTTTTTTCTGGCTGCCCTTCCCTATAGTCTATTGGCAAGGAGGTGGTGACTAATTGACGATTTGGAGACTTTGGTGAACCCAAGATGCAACTAAGGTCTGTTATTCTCTGACTATAATTCTCTAAAAACCAACAACTTTCGGTCTCTTCATTTGTGAGTTCTTTGCTTTCATCCATGGTTATAGATTTAACATGCATGCTACCTGATTTTTATATCTACAGTAATGAAACAGGAAGCCATGGAAAGCCACAATATACTGTACTGCAGATTCATATTGATATTAACATAAAAAGTAGAATGTTAATGCAGGTTTAATCTTGTTTCATTACTTAGAAAAACTTTGGGGGTGTCAAGAAATTAAAGTATTGCTTGTTAACATATGAAATATAAAAACAAAACCAATATTTCATTAAAATATTCAGTGCTATTCTAAGTGGACATGAAGAAATTGTATGGTGTTTTTACTTAAGTGACTAAAAGTAGATTTACATAGCAAAAAAACAATATGCAACACTTTCTACTGTCTGGGTCACTGCACTGCTTCTGGTGTGTTCAGTATATCAGTGTTATTTTGCCCTTCAGGGAATTTGATCATGGCTATGTGTAGTCCATTAGCATGAACTCCAGCTTCAGTATAGTATAGTGCTACTCCTCAGATGACAAAAAAACTCCTCTATGCCATAAGGATGGGCATCCTGCTACAGGAAAATTTTATTGCTATACAGATTACAATACAGACTTCACTTTTGAGATGTGGTTATTTGCTCGATTTAGTGACCAGAGTTTGATTCCTCAACTCACCAGCATATTTTGCAGTAGAGAAAGAAAATTAGAATTGGCATGGTGCATTGGATCTTTGTGAAGCTCTGGGGTTTTCAGCTCCCAAGAAGCTAATAGATTCAGAAAAAGGAGAAACCCACTTGTGAGATGAGGTTTTCCCACATTTTTCTCCCCCAAGATCAATAAGGTGCACCCTCATGTCTTTCAGGTTGAAGCTACTTTAACCTCTTTTTCTCTGTTTGAGGTATATCAAACAGACAGATAACATTTAAATAATTTTTATTGCTTATGGATTACCACATTCATGAAACATATAATACTAGATGGTAGCAGTCTATAAAGTTAATAGACTCAAACCTTATGAGACTCCTTTAACCTTGGAGGTAGGTTATCCCGTATCCTCCTCATAGCTTGGAGAGGTGGCTCATTAAAATAAGGAGGCTCTCCGTCTACCATTTCTATGACCATGATCCCCAGGGACCATATATCCACCTGTAAGGAAAGTGAAAGACAGCTGAAGAAGGCCACCACCTGTTGGAAATTTCGGCAATCACAAAAAAAGATAAAAAAACGAGAGTGCAGAAAATTCTCGACTTCATTTAAAACTGCACACTCATAAGTTATAACAGAAAAAATTAAGTAATTCCAAAACTAGAACAACAACAATTTCTGCATAGGCAAGCTCTCTGTGCCTCTCTCCTCCAATTACTTTTTCTTTTCATTTTTTAATTATTCAGTTTAATTTTTTACAGGTTAAAACAATCCACCTCTAAAGCCTACATTTCAGCTCCAATAAATATCACTGAATATCAATATCACTGAACTGGAGACCCACATTCTCAAAAGACAATAATGTAAGCTAAGTGGCAGTGTATCTGGAGATTAATATTTTCTTTCTTTGCACTTTTATATTCCAATGCCATTTATACAAATATGCATTAAAATAACTATTGTGTTAAAATGGAGCTGTTGTAAATATTGTAATTAAATTATTATTATGCCAAATTCTCCTGCCAATTATATTCTATTGAAAACAGAAACATGATAGAGCAAAAGAACAATGAACATTAATATTTAAGATATAATCTATAACACCTAAAAGAAACTGTGGTTCAGTATAATTCATATATATGAAGCTATTGGTGGATACCAGACCCAATTATCTTGAATTACTTTTTAGAACAGGCAGAGTTCAGCATATCATTTTTTATTATATTTTAAATGCCTGTAGTGAAATGATTAATGTTCAAAAGGTATGTGCTTAAATAGTTTTAATATGAAAGACTTAGACATTTACCTCAGTTCCATATGGTAACCTAGAAATCACCTCTGGTGCCATCCAGTAAGGTGTGCCAACCAGTGACTTCCTTTTAGGAACCTCCTTGGATACTTGTGCACAGAAGCCAAAGTCTGAAAGTTTGATCTGTCAGAAATACTATATGCTTCAGTTGAGGATCACAATCATTATTGTACAAATTCAAAACAGTACATTTGTTTTGTAAAATAAAAAGATAATGAAGGTTATCTGCCCAATACATACCTACTTCATTTTTCTTTTGAAATTCATTTATGTAAATTCATTAATGATTAAAGATATGTTTTCATGATAACATCACATATAAAATAAGTGTAATGTAAGAACCTAACAGCCACTAAGGTTCACTTTCATTAACCATAACAGCAAATCACACAATGAAAATAATAAATAATACTAATAAGCCAAATGAGTCTTGCATTAACATACCAAACTACACTTTTTATGAGGAAGTTCGTCAGCTAAATAGGAAGCAGTTTTATTAGGTGTTGAACAATTAATATAATGTTTGTAATGTATTCTCTATATACCCCATTCTCTTCACTTTCTTCATTTAAAAGTCATTCTAAAGAACATAGTGATTTCTGTTTCTACCTGAGTCATTTACTTTTAACCTCTTTTTTTGAAGATATGGAAACGATGGAAGGCAAGTGAAATTCGGCTAGCCTTTCTCTATTTTCTATTACTTCTTGCTACTAAACTGTTAACTATGAATTACAAATATCCATACCAACACACATTTTTTGAGTATTAACATTTAAAATACACAAATATTTTAGAAATCTAAAAACAAAACACAATTACAAAGCACAATTAACGATTTTCATGAGGCATGAATAAGTAAAACTTCAAGGAATTAGGACTTCTTGTATAGCTAAGTGATATCAGAGGTGTTAGCCGAGGAATTGAGGAGGATATGTAATAATCGTCCTCATATTACATATGAGGATATATGTAATAATAAACCTTGCACATGATATCACATGACATCAATATTCTTTGCTTTTAAAGATAATGTTTGCCTTGTCTAACATGTTGCAACATTAGCTTGACTACATTATAATTATATTACAGGCAGGTTTAATGACCAGAAATATTATAACACAACAAGCATGTATGATTCATTGTCCTCTTGAATTCATAAGAATTCAACCAAACAGCTATGTATAGATTCAAACATTATAATGAACTGTATATAATGAGAAAATGTTTGACTAAAAGAATCAGCACATCTTAATTAGCATTTGGAACAAAACATTTCATTTCAGCTAAATTACATTAGATCAATTTTGAACAAGTGGAATAATAAAAGATGTTTTAAAATTGTAATTGGATGCATTCTTGCATAACAAATGCCATTTTAGCCTCAAGAAATTGTACTCAAAAATGCCTACCCTTCCATCGCTTGTAAGAAGTATGGAATCACTCTTGATATCCCTGTGAATAACACCTTGCGTATGAAGGTATGATAAAGCTTTCAATACTGACAAGCAGACAGTGGCTATCTGCTCCTCATTCATCCTGAAATGCAAAAAAATATATATATTAGGAAAGTTTTAGTAAAGTTGAATACTGGTTTGGATAAAATTGGTTTGATGTTGTGTTTATGTCTATCAAACATATTGTATTTCTATCTTGTCTTTCGATGTTAGAAAAAATAATTCACTGCTACAATTTTTTAATTCACATGACCATGTTATTTAAAATCTTAAGAATTACACCTCAGCTTTCCCTTCTATCCTGTTTTGTTAGATCTGCTATATTTCAGGCTACAAAGATGCATTGGCAACAGCCAATAGGATATGAGCATAGGATACAGAGAAGCATCTGGGATGGTTGAGTCTGGTTGAGCATGGTTGAGTCTCATGGATTTCAGTGGTAGGACAGCTGTTCTTCATACACACTGTATATAGATTATATACCAAAGTGACAGCAATAAAATTGTTAAATTTGCCAAGGATACAAAACATGGGGCAATGGCTGAGAAAGTACATACAGTACATACCAAATTAAATTCTATGTTACTAAATGTAAAATTTTGCAAATAGGTTAGAAAATATAAGACAGGGCTGCACAACCTGTGGCCTTTCCAATTCAGATCCATTTTGAAAGTATGATACTAAAATGCACTTCATTGCTATATCAGTTCATCTTAGTATTAGTTCCAAATCATAAAGGAGCTGGTTGTAGCAATATGTTTGAAAAAGCAGATTGGAAAGGCTGCAGATGAGCAGCTCTGATGTACTTTAAAATCATACGAAAGGAATCATAAAATTAGAAAGAGATGGGCACTGTATAAAAGCAACAAAATAGAAAATTTAATGGCAATTTACATAGCAAGTAGTGTACAAAATGTATCAAGATATGTTGTGCCAAAACTGTACAATAGACTATGCAAAATGATGCAAAATGATGCAAAATGTCTGCCTGTAGTTGTACAAAGTTTCCAGAAAACTTTCTCCGAAAGATAAAATTAATATAGTTTGTGCCATGAGTTCAATATATCAACACCTTGCGTGAAGTACTTTAGATTTTTTGCATGTTACCATAGAAACTATCTGCATAACAAAACTTTAAACAGACACATCAGATCACAAAGCAGCAGCAAATGAAAAATATATCCACCTTAATAAGAATATTATCATGCTGGATTGATTAAATTAGCCTGTCATTATTGATTACAAGATTAATAAAAAGCATGACATATAACCTGTAAGTACTACAGTAATATCAGAGAATCTGATAAACAGTTACTTTTCAGTTACTAACAGTAAAATGTAAAAGAATAAATTATGTTATAACATTTTGTGTATGGAGAGAAACAAAATGCTATATAACTTTGTATTTGTTTTTTTAATTACTGAGTATATTTTAAAGAGCTGTTTTACCCTGCTTCTGCACCACATTCATTTCCACAAGGCACATGAGCAAAAAACAGACAGAATGAAAATAAATTAATGATGTATGAAAATGTTACAAATAATAAATTGCGCATAAACTGTAGGGTGCATGCAGCTTGTAAAAAGACAAAGATGATAAGGCATGCTGTGAAAAATATTTTTTTATGGCAGGAAAACATTACATATTGGTAGGGCTAGTAAAAATGAAGAGAAGTAATGAACTGGAATCTTTTAGTCAAATTTTTATTCGAGAAATGAATCTGATGAAAATGAGGAATGCAAAAACACATTCATTTGATGCATCTATAAAAATCTCAAACAATTGATTACTATAATTCAAAAAGCATTTAGAGCAAACATTTACCTAGCTTAGTTGATGGCACAGGTCCCTTTACCTCCAAAATTTTCAGTGTAATTGTGATGAGCAACGTGGATAATCTTAAACATATCTGACGCCTAATTTTGTTTTGTCTTGAATAACGGTTGTAATTAAGTTTATATTGCCAGTATTGTCAGGTTATACATTGTTTTTAAAAATAAGTGTAACACAGTATATCAATAAAAACGTTTCATGATTTACGGTCAGTGCCTACAGAAGGAATTCTTTCAATGCTTCATAAATTATAACACAACCTAAATGGAGGCTGACACATATAGTTATAGACTTCTGACTTGTTTGATTAGTTTCTTCACTGGAAAGCAGTCAAAATCTGGCAGTCCCTCTGCATACAACCTTGAACCAGACTCTGACTCTGCCTTCTCTTCTTTCTGTGGTTTTCATTTTGTTGTTGCTACCTTTTTTGCTTTTTAGCCAAGCTCAGAATCAGCTCGGAGGTGCTCACTGCACTTGCACAAGAATGAGCATAAGGGCCTATTCGTATTCTTAAAAAATAATGACACATCTTTCAATTAAATAATTCCTGAAGTCTCATTTCTGCAGTACTATACAAATGGATTATGGTACACTGCTCAATTGTAGTTGTGTGATTTGCTATTTCCAGGTCATGCTGACAACATTTGTGTGAATAAATAACACAGCTTTGAATAGTTTAACTAAAAAGACTGGTCATATAAAACTTTAAAAGCAACACTTTGCTGTTTACTATAATCTTCACCCTCTCCCATCTCCTTGTAATCTGAGAACGAGAAACAAAAGGGCTTGTTCAGAACATATTGATATTTGTTATTGTATATATATTTTTCAAATCAATTAACTATGTAGAAAAAGGAGACATATCATGATAAAATCATCATTTTTTCTACATATATATGGGTAAACAATTTTCTATTTATATTACAAAATATTAAGTAATGATGTGGAACAGAAAACCCATGTTTGCTGCCTGATCCTATTCCATGGACAGTCTTCCCCCTGGCTCTCCCGCCTTACTCAAGAGAAATTAATGATCTTCCTTCAGTTCCATCAAGATCTCCCCAAGGAGCCTAAAACCATTAGGTGTGGACTGAATCATGAAGTAATATAATCAAACATTTTGAAACTCAAAGGAATATAAACAACCCAGACATAAAAGACCCTGGCAGCTAATCTGGGATGTGTCATGATGTGGGGGAAGTACTAAGAAGCAGAAAATCTGATTCCCCAACACCTCTCAGACAAAGAAAATAACACATGTTCATCTAGTATTATTTTAAGGGCTTCAATACATTTCTTTAAGCTAACAATTTGGAAATAAAAAACTGGGAAATAGGTGTTGCTGTACGCTGCTGCGCATAGCTTTTACCGTTGAATGCTGACACTCGATTGAAATCACCACATTAATTCCTAATTAACACTGGTATGAGGTACAAAAGCTCCACATAATTCAGCACCAATCATTACACTTCCCTGGCAGTAGCCCAAGTCTAAATGATGGAGGAGCATACTGTTTACAAAGAAGTGGGAGAACAGAGCTGCAAGGAGAAACACAGAGGACACCTATTTTTTGGCACTGTTTCTTACCTTGGAAAATGGAAAAAAAAATCTGAAATACCTATTATGAGTATAGAATTATGTGAAAACCAACAATTTTTGCAACAGTATTCATAATACAAGCGACAATAAAATGTAGGTTTACTGTAGCACCAAACTAAGGACACACATACAGTTTGGCATATTTTTACACAAAGGGCTGTTAGGGTCTGGAAAAACCTAGCTATGTTTTTTAAACTGATCCCCTGTCTACTCTCAAGAAATGACTGGATTTGATCTTTTGATCAATTAAATGATAATACCTACGTAAATGAGCTAGATGGACCAAGCAGCCTTCTCTGTTTTTTAAACATTCATTGTTTACAATATGTTTTTAGAGAATTGACGTTTGTACTGTATGGATGTTGGCTTTATTCCTAATGTATTAGTATTGGTGTACATTACAGTAAGGTTTTACCTAGGTAACTTAAAATTTTACTTTGCTGTTGCTGATTAAAATAATCTCAAAACAGTGAGCACATTGCTTCACATTCAATTTTTTTTCTCCTGTGAAGCAAGATGAACAGCGTTCCCCAATATAGGTAAATTCAGTAATAGAGAAATGCTGTAAAATGCATTAATTAATAATGATTTACATCAGATCTAAATAAAATTCTAATTTAGAATTAATTTAATATGTATACTGATACAGTACATGCGTACTGTACCTTCTTAAATCACTGTTGCATTAGTAGGAATCGCCAACAATTATAGTCAGGATTAGGTACGTACAAAAATACGTACAGTAGGACAAAACCTATTCTGATTTATAAAAAGTGTCGATGATGAAATGATTATCATCATACATTCATCAAACTTGAGAAACAACTTGATCATCCACAGGAAAACAAAACAGTACTTTGGAAATGTATTTGAACCGATCGATTATTGTTTAAATAGACAAAATGTTAGGTAAAAAAAAACTATTGTAAGCTGTGCTTTTGTTTCAAATGGAGTCTAGAACAGTCCTATATTTACAAGATTTTTTCATTGCTCCAGAAGGTTGTTTAAAAGTCCTTTGTGATTCAAATAAATCCCATATTTACTGTATAGTGAAAGTAAAAACACATTTAACTTAAGAGTTTAAAAAGAGGTGCTTCTGCCAATGAAGAAAAAAAACACATTTGCATTTCAAAAGTCTAATGCAAGGCAGCGCAAAACTGCACTGCACGACCAGGAATGAGATCTCCTGAAAAATTAATTAAACTGTACATAATCTCACGATTTATACCAATGAGGGTGTGGATCTTCACGAAACAGTGTAATTATCATCTGACAGTCCGCCACATAGACAGATGTGTAACAGAAATAACTATAATTATACAGTACATACAGACAACTGCACTTATACACAACAGCAGAAGAAAACAGAACACAATAGCAAGGGGCTATCCTTTGAAAAAGCTTTAGTAAGAGTTTCAAAATGATGCCTGCACGTATCCTAAGATGTAAGAAAGTGGAAAGTGTTTTCTCTCAGTGCTATACATGCATATTTAGAATGTACATCTATTCTGCAAGAAGACGAGTTTCAATAAAATATCAATTTTATTCTGAATGTCCCGTAGTTCTTTAATCAGAGGTTTTTACACTTATGCCCAAACATTAATTAACCTTCTTATCATATTAACTATATTGCAATATAATTAAAATGTACACATAACATTTAAATACCTGATAATAAACCTAAATAAACTGATACAATTAGGCAAATAGACGGGTGTGTGCACTTCTTTGCATTTAATTTGATTTTGTGTTCCAAACCACAGCATTAAAATACACACAAAAGCATGTGCTATATAGGATTTTTGAATTGTTACTACTGACATCCTCCTCCATCCATTTACAAATGCTTTTTCCCAATACAAGTTTGCAGGGCAGCCGGAGCCTATCCTGGTGAGCAACGGGTGCAAGGCAGGTTACATCCTGGACTGGACTCCAGTCCATCGCAGGGCTCACACAGAGACAACCACGCACACTCACTCCCAAAGCCAATTACCTACAAGTATGTCTTTGGACTAAGAGAGGAAACAGGAGCACCTGGCAAAATCCCAGCTAACACAGGGAGAACACTCCGGGCAGATATTACCCCGGCTCTGAATCCAGGCCCCAAGTACTGTGAGACAGCAGAGCTAACCACTGCAGCACCATGCTGTCCTTACTGCTGATATAGTTCAAAAAGGTACTATTCTCTGTACAGATGAAAAAACAACAACATAATCAGTATAGTTTTGACCAGAGGATGGGGGTGGCAAAGTTTAACCATGTTGGCAGTTCACTTCTTGATTACACAACTCAAGGTCTTACTCAGCACTTCAGGTTTTGAGATGGTTGCCTACATGTAAGTGTCAGGTAAACAGAGATGATCAAAGGGTGTTTTAGATTATTTACTTTGGTTAATTAAACTTTAATTTGAATCATTAGAATCATAATAAAGGATGAGCATTCATAAGCAATAGAGCAAATATAGAAGGAAGGAAGACAGAGTGATGTGAGAGGACCTTGTTAGAATTGGCTAGAATTCTGAATTATCTAGGTCCAGACCCGGTGCCACCGGGGGGGTGGCAAAAGGGGTTGTCACCCCCCTCAACTGAACTGTCTCGCCCCCTCAGTTTTGGACAATAGTATTTTGAACACTTTCGCTTACTTAATTTGCGCCCTAAAAATAGTTGTACTTTATCAATGGTCAGATAACTACAGTAACCCTGAATTTACTACATCAGAATGTTTGATGTGAACAATGTGTCAACATTATTACGATCTTGTTTGCTCAGGTGGACCGATTCCTTGCAGTCGTTTATCCTTATTCTTACAATTGTTATAGAAATACGACTTTAGTTATAGAAGTTTGTGCTTTCTTTTGGTTTTACAACTGTTTTTTCTTAATGATTCATACCCTTGTTACCATTGATGTACTGTAGCTGCAAAAATAAATGCATATGGTATTTTGTCAGGCATAATAATCTGTGCTGATGAACGTAAAACTGTACTTAATCGCTAAATACCAGATTGCTCGTCGTTATCTTCCAGCACGATGCACTAATCAGTGGCATGGTTGCGAGATTTCACTTGGGTAGTTGCAATGGCTCCGTTTCAAATGAAATATCACCACCCCCTCAGAATTTTAGATGCCCACCTACAGGTTTTTCCCCTGGCGCTGGGCCTGTCTAGGTCTGTAGGATGTAGGCTCATACATGACATTCTTCCTATATTGTTCATATTCTTCCTTCCACCTGCACAATATTTTTTGTGCCCCTGCCACACAATCCAAAAGCATAATAGATTCACCCCCATGCTTATGGTTGGCAATATATTTTTTTCTTCAAATGCTTCATCCAGTTTTCTCCAAAGGTATCTTCTGTGGTTATTAACAAAAAGCTCAATTTTTGTTTCATCAGTCTATAGCACTCCAAATTCTTTTTCTGGCTTATCAACGTAACTGTGTTTTCCACACTTAAAATGTTAATAATAATAATAATTGCTTACACTTATATAGCGCTTTTCTGGACACTCCACTCAAAGCGCTTTACAGGTAATGGGGTCTCCCCTCCACCACCACCAATGTGCAGCATCCACCTGGATGATGCGACGGCAGCCATAGTGCGCCAGAACGCTCACCACACATCAGCTATTAGTGGGGAGGAGAGCAGAGAGTAATGAAGCCAATTCATAGATGGGGATTATTAGGAGGCCATGATTGGTTAAGGCCAATGGGAAATTTGGCCAGGACGCCGGGGTTACACCCCTACTCTTTTCGAGAAACGCCCTGGGATTTTTAACGACCACAGAGAGTCAGGACCTCGGTTTTACGTCTCATCCGAAGGACGGCACCTGTTTACAGTATAGTGTCCCCATCACTATACTGGGGCATTAGGACCCACGTGGACCACAGGGTGAGCGCCCCCTGCTGGCCCCACTAACACCTCTACCAGCAGCAACCTTAGTTTTTCCCAGGAGGTCTCCCATCCAGGTACTGACCAGGCTCACACCTGCTTAGCTTTAGTGGGTTGCCAGTTGTGAGTTGCAGGGTGATATGGCTGCAATGTTGACTTACAGTATGTAAGACTTACAGTATGTGAAATGTTGTACAGTATGTGAAATGTTGTAAAATGTTGACTTACAGTATGAGATCTTAGGAAAGGCTTCCTTCTGACAACTCTCCTGTGCAGATCATTTTTTGTGTAAACAATGCTGTACTGTGGATCTGTGGAGAACTACTCCAGTTTCAGCTTAACGTTTCTGTAGGTCCTTTGCAGTGATCTATGGGTTCTGCTTTGTAAATCTGACCAGTGTTTGAACAGTTCACATCAGCAATTTTTCTGGTTCATCCCGATTTTGCCTCGACTTCAAAAGGTCCCTTTAAATTCCATTTCTTAATGATGTTTCTGACAATTAAAAATGCAAGCTGGAAGCATTTAGATACCTTATTTATAGCCTTTTCCTGGTTTGTAACAGTAAGTAATATTTATTGTCAAGTCCTCAGACAGCTGCTTAAGGGAGTCCATGGTTGTTGAAGGTAAACAGAACAACAATCACAACCCAAGAGGTTAGAGGGATCAGAATATTTGTTCAACCCTGGTATAGTCTTTACCACGGACTTTTAGGCCTAATAGTCAAGTGTTGGGGCCTTTGAAAAATACTAGTTAAAAAACGTAGCATTGAATCAACTGGAAGGGTGCCCAAACTTTTTATTTTTTCCTCCTGTTAAAATCATCAAATGAATAGTAATTTTGCATTATAATTTTTAGAAGGATGTTGGGTTTACCTTTGTGCCATGTAGAGGTTATCACCTCCTGTTAACTTAGAGATTCTTTGAAATACAATTTAACAATTTAATTTAGGGTGCCTAAACGTTTGCACACAACTGTTATTGTCCTAATAAAGCTATGTGCTTTTATAGAAACATTATGGGTCCATATTTGACGTTTTCAGTTTAGATTGTCAAAATAATTGAGTAACAATCCGTTCAAATAATCACTTTTACTAATTAATTGGGCTCGCTATTTATCCCAAACTATTTTTATTTGTATGCATTTATAAAGCTATTTCTGGATGAGCAATGTTGGCTCAAGGGGACAATAGCAGTACCCTTTCTCATTTGGGAGTTTTACACAACCTTCTAGTTACAAGTGCAAAGGCCTAACCACTGCTGCACACTGCAGTTTATTCAAAAGTACACCTTTAATTACTCAAAGAACAGGTAAAAAAACAATCAAGTCCTGCTAGAGATAATGAAGATCTTCATTATGAAGACTGCATGTTGTTATCAGTATTTCTTGAGGTGTCATATCTATGAAAAATGCTACCTGGGGAATAAGATGTTCTGCTTCAACTATCATAAGAACAGACAAAAAAACAGAAAATTGGAACCATGTGGGACAGTCCAACAAATTGCAACAACTCTGCAATTTGATACTGACAGCATTCATTTTCTAACTGCTTTATTAAATACAGAATTACAGTAGAGATAGAGCCTATCCTTGCAAGCAAAGGATGCAAGGTGGGGGTACATTCTGGATGGAATGCCAGTACATAAAAGGGCACACAGACTCAGATAAACACCTACTACTACCAGGGCCAATTTTCGCAGAAGCCAATTAACCTCCAGTATATCTTTGGTTTGTGGTTATGGATGCCACGATGAAGCCATCGATGACTTTAAAAAGCTACAAAGTTCTATGAATAACATAAGAAAATGAGTCTAGGAGTCAACAATATCTCAGTTACTCTAAAAAGGAGGGTTGTATGTCAGAGTCACACCCAAGTTCTCATGGAGTGATGGAGCAAACATGTGGTCAGGTTTTGCAGTCAGGCAAGACAATTTTTTTTTTATCTAAATGTAAAGTGTTACAGCTGGGGCAAACTCAATGCAACACATCACCCAATCATTATCATCCCTACTGGTAAATGTGTTGGTGATGGAATTATAGGGCTGTTTCTCATCCAAGGAGACCAGTCAAAATCAAAGGGGAAAAGGAACGGAAGTAAACATAGTAAACAGAAAAAAACTTCAGTCTGCTAAAGACCTAAATTTACACTATGGTGAACCTCCTTGTGTGGCCCACAGTCATGACTTGAATAGAAAAAAAAAGTTTTGTTAACCCATTAAAGTGTTCATTTTGAGCACTAATATTTTTAATAAAATGTTCACTTAAAAATTCGTATATTTCATGATTTGTGGCAGATTAATTATTTTGCAAGGCACTGGATAATGGAGCAGTATAGCCAACTATACTTATGACCCTAATCTACTGGTTCATTGTTATATTATAGCAAACACGAGTCACGTTTTGCATGTATTGTAAATTGTCACAAGCCAGTTAATATAAGTGTAGTGTTAAAGCAATGTCAATTATGATTACAGATTACAGGCTACAGCTATACCTTTTGGGCTGTATCATGCAAATTTCAACAATCTTGTTTAAAATGTATTTGGTTAAACCTGACTTTGGGAAGTTACAGTACAATCACAAAACGAAAACAACGCAAGGTTAGGAGCTGGTTATGAGACTAGTCTTGAATAAGTTTAAGAGTATAACCACAACATAAATGTTTGCACACGTTGTCTAAATTGTCTTTAAAAACGCACAAGCCTACCTTGTGTGGGTCACAATGTCAGTCAAAGCACCACCTTCAAGAAACTCCATAACTACCCACAGTTCATCTCCTACTAGGTAGCTATTGTACATGTCCACCACATTTTCATGATGGTAGTCTCTCATTATAACAACCTGGATAATTAAAGAAAAGAAAATCCAAATTATAAATCTCATAACAGTACACCCACATAAAAGGCAAATACTTTACTGTTTTAAAACAGTGTATATATATAGTATATATCATTTAATTTACATGTCATTTGATGTCATTAAATATACAGTAGAACAATCAACAAAATAGGCTTATGGCTAAAAATTCATTAAAAAATCTGATACAGTAGGTTAAACACACTGAAATTATATTTATGTAAAAATACAATTCAAGCTATTCTCTTGTGTAAAAATGACAAAATACAGGGAATTCTAATTCGCATGGAAGAGATCAAAGCAAAGTCTAATGTAGAGTTTGTTTTAGAACTGTAATCGGCTGCTCTTGACCAATAACAATTTAATCACACAAAAATTAGTGTAGATTCCTAAATAGAACTACTGTATTGACAAGTGCATTTTTAAATCTTATTTTTAGCCTCTAAAGGCTTCAATTTAAGTTCCACAATGGGCATTAAAATGAAATTGTACGACAATTACAACAAAAAAGGGGAAAAAATAAAATACAAATATTTATTTGGAAAGTAAGTTATGTTTATTCTGTAAGTCTAAGCTAAAGCCAATATCTAAAAATGTTCTTTAAAATCTTAAAGCTATTTGACATCATCACCCTCATCAAAAAACATAAGGAGATTAACATGATTTTGAATTTGAGGATTTTAATTTTGGCAGTTTAAATAAGATTGTCATGCTTTGAAAATAAGATTCAATAATATCATTTATAGTAACTGTCTTTTTTTATATAAATAAAACTTAACTAAGATATACATAAGACTTCTAATTTAAAAGTGAATGTTTCTTTCATTTTTTAAAGCGTATGTGCAAAATTGTTATAGTTTGCACTAGAAGGATCTGATCTAAGGCTCTTACCTAATACAAATGCACATTTGTGCAATACAAAGTTTGAAAATACCTCAGTGGTCTGCATTTCTTACAAGAACACAGTTTAAGTTGCTTTATTCCTATCAGGACAGCATTACATTTCCGATTCATAATATGTGTGAAAGAGTTCATAACTCTTTCTAAAGGAAACAACTTCATCATGATTTATCGAAATATACAATATGTCCCCCAAGTCTACATTTTCGAAATATACTTTTAGATCATTTAGATTCATTATAGAACAGCCTTATAGTATGTTGTGGCCATTAGCACTGATGGCTTAAAGCTCCTGGGTTTGAAACTAGATTAGGTTGCCTTCTATGTGGAGTTTTTATCTGCTTGTGTTCATGTGGGTTTTCTCTGGATGTTCTGGTTTCCTCTGATAATCTTAGTATGCAGAAAGACAAGTTCCTAATACAAAAAATTGTATATGGCCAATAAAGTGATCTTAAGTGTGCATGTATTCTTTCGTGTGATGGAATGGAATTCCAGGTTAGAGTGCAGAGACCTGCTTTGAGTCATATGCTTCCAGCACAGGATTTGACCCTAAGCAGATATAAACATATTCCAGATATTGTATTTCATTTAAAATATTGTGCATCTAACAATACCTAGATATACATATATAAAGAAAAGGTACTAATCACCAAAAATGTGTCCCAGTATTTAAACAGTTTATACTCAAACATGTTTCAAGTTTCCTTTTTCTAGTTGAAATTATGCTTCTTTGTGGAAGAGTTAATGACAGAAAAAAGTAAGACATGCAGACATGGGAAACAGAATGAGAAAGCACAGTGGTTTCTCATTCACTGTGCTGACCTCATTGAAGAGCAATTCCCGTCTTTGCTGTTTTCGCAAGTCCATCTTCTTTACTGCCACCTGCTTGCCAGTGTGCTTCTCTGTGGCGATACACACAATGCCTGTGGATCCTTCGCCAATCTTAATGAAGTTATCTAGGTACTCTCGGGGGTCACCAGGATTTACCACGAGCTGCAGGGCAGCCCTGAACTGCTCGTGAGACACCCTTGAGGGCTGCTGATCTGAGGAGGAGCCCCAGCTCGGGGGAGGGTAAGCACCAGGAGGTATATAAGGGGATGATGGTTGCGAGTAAGCACCTTGAGCACTGTAGGGCGGACTGGGCTGCGGCTGAGAGTGGTGGTAGGGGGAGGGCTTGTGGTAAGTTGTTGGGAACTGGAAACTGCTAGGGTAGCTTGGCTTGGTTTGAATTTGAGGTAGTTTAAAAGGGACTCTGGGGTACGTTTCTGCACCGGGCACTTGCGAGATCATGTCCCTGGCTGCTCTTTCATAATCCCCCTGTAGAAACACAAGTAGAAAAAGGCTTCTGGTATAAATACCTCACTGGAAGATTTCAACAGAAAAACCTATGAAATTCAGAGTTTTCTACAGGATGTAAACGATTTATAAGACCTTTTTTTTTAGTACAGATTTTTTTTACATTTAAAATATCATATTTAGCATTTTGTTAATACTTATTATCAGAAATTATCACAACATTAATCTTTAATCAAAGGTTTCATCAAAATTCTTTGGTCAACAAAAAATAAGAAAGTGTAATTTATAAACCGGCAGGATTTAGTAAGGCGGAACATTATTTCAATGGAGGTGTAAAAATGTATCGCAACAGTAACTTTACTATAAACATTATGGAACATTAATGGCACAGCAAATTATTCTAATACTGACTCTTCTATAGAGAGTATGGCCTCAAAAGTACAATAGTTTTCTGAAATCAGAAGTGACTGAAAATGATCAGTGACAACAGAACATACACAGCTGGCACTATTGATTGAAACAGAATTAAGGTTTCATGTATCCTGTTCTATTTCGTGACAAGAAGAGCCAGTGGTTACCCTAAATTCTGAGGAGGAAGGTTTTTCTGCCAACATACTGTACAGCAAATTAATCTGAAAGATATTTCATATACAACATGCTATGTTTGATGAGGCTGGCCTAGAGGATAATGGGAAAATCTAAAATTGTAGTTTTTTTATTCACAAATGGCACAAAAGATGATTATGAGTGCAAAATAGGTCTGCAATCCTAGTAAAAAAATTGTTAAATTTACCCCCTCCTTCATTTTGTATAAAAGATAAAGATGTGTTGAAACAATAGAAATGTCTGTTTTATCCATGCTGCCTTCCCTATTCATGTAATGTCAATTTTGATATACTGTAACAATATCCTGAATAAAAATAGCCCAAAAATGAAAGCAGACTGTTTATCTATGCTCATGAGATAATCATACAAAATATTTAATATAATCTGGAATGTACTTGTTTTTTTCACATGAATTAGAGTACACAGCATCAGCAAATATAATTTATAAGGGATATTTAGATAATCATACTGAAAAACACACAAAACATTTGAGGTTATTTTGAGTCTCATGACAAATTAAAGTGAGTCACTGTATGACCTTGTTTTAAAATATTCATGTTTGCCACATTTATAATGATTTTTTGCTTATCATGCTATTTCTATGCCCCAGGAACCAGGTATTTTTCAAGGTGAAGCAAGTTATATGCTCTTAAAGGAAACATTTGGTGTCAAATAAAAATCAGACATAAATATAGAAAACCACAGTTTGAAATGTATTGTAACGCAACGGGGGCTCAGGCAGGCGCCCTTGCCGCATCTGGTCGGCCCCTGCACCGTCCGGGGCTCGAACCCGGGACTTCCGCGTCTCTCTGCAGCGACCTAGCCCCGTGAGCTAAAGAGAGA